ATAAGCCCATCAATGTTGCTGTGTGCCTTCAAGTCCTCTCTCACTTATGACATCAACAAAACAGTGATACCTTTATCGGACCCATCAAAATGCACAAAATATATGTTGCAAGCTTTAAAATCTGTAACCTGTACCTGATTAAGAAGCCAGTGGAACTCCAAAAACTTCCAACATGTATTTAGTGCATTTTGGTTGGTCCAATAAATATATCACTGTTTTGTGGATTTTCAATGTTATTGTACTTTGCTACATGGCCAACATAACTACCCCTCATGTTTTCTGACTTATGGTGATCCTCAGGTGAACTTATCACAGGTTTTCTTGGCAAGATTTGTTCAGGGGGTTTTGCCCTTTGCTTTTCACTTAGGCTGAGATGGTGTGACTTGATCAAAGTCTCCCAGTGGGTTTCCATGGCCAAATAGAGATTTGAACCCTAGTCTTTCAGAATCCACTACACCACACTGGCTCACTTCACTGTCCTAATTTTGCCAATGACAAAGAACTCCTGGGATGGGGAAGGCATAACTAAGACATGGCTATAGGGTCTATAAATTTCCATTTACTCTCTCTTGGGCATCATAATTCAACACATCACCACTACACTCACAACTACATGCACTCTAAGAGCACAATCCTATGCTCCAGTATCCCCACTGAATACATAGGGGTTCACTTCCAAGCAAAGATACAAGGGACTTCACTGTTAAAACGTCTGCAAGCCACTTCTATTTTCTAGGATCTACAAGAGTGCTTTGTCTTCAAAACTAGTGTAGAAATGGCTTCACCTATTGGAAGATGTAGAAAGGTAATCAATAATTAAAGAAACAAACCATCTCTGCAGAATCACAAAACTGACTGGTTTACAGGTCTCAACCAGTTCATACACATGGATCGTTCAACAGAGATGCAAATTGTGTCAATGGAGGGTTGCTGTTTATTTTGAACAGCAAAAAAAAATGGATCTTAAACACATTTCTTGACTGTGACAGACTAAATGTAGAAGTATTTCTTTTAGCATACTGATCATGCCCAGCAGAATATGCCATCCAGGGTAATATGTTTGTGATACAAATGGCCATCCAATACCTTGAGCAGAGAAAGAAAAATATAGAAGAAAAAAAGTGGTTTTCTGTAAAAAGCCAGTGTTCTTATCTCCAGACTTCACAAGCCTTGTCCTCTGGGCTTTCCCAAGTGAGTCTTTCCTTTTCCTCTTGGAAAAACAGGAGAAATCCCCTTGATGGTGGACCCCCCTAAAAAAAACTGGTTCATTCCAGATCCCTTTCTGCCAAGGCCAACTAGCCATCTGGGCCCTTTCAGGGTGTGGATTTAAACAATAGCTTTTCATATGCAGGCTATCTTGCTTAGCTGAACAATCAGGGGAGTTTATCAGATAAGAAAGACTTTATTATTCAAGCTGCTATAGAGATGGTCAGAACTCAGAGACAATTAGTGCATGAGCCAACGTTAAGCACATTTTAAGTCTCAGAGATTTAAATGGGAGAGACTTTTGCACACTCTGCTGTTGAAATAATTGGGTCTTTGAATGCCAGACTATGTCTGGATTCTACCCAATACGATTTGTGAGTACATGGGGACTTGAGGTGCATTAATGGGCATTACAGCTATCACATTTGTAATGTTCACTGATCACATGTTGTGCATGTGAGCCCACAATGGTTGCCTTAAAACTTATCATGATGCAATATATCTTAAAGATTAACCTTAAAAATAATTTGCTATCTCAATATAGGGGGGGAAACTGGATTCTCTGACAATGGTCTATCTGCTGAAAAACCAAGATAGTATCTAGGGCATGTTTTCCAACCCAGTAACAACAGATAGCTCAGAGTGCAAAGAAGCTGTGATAGTTGGAATCATTTCTGACCATCAAATTGTCTTAAAATAATCTATGAAACCTTTTAGAGCCATGGTCAGAACTGTTAAGGATGTCACTAACTGAATATTGAGGTTTTGGAAATGGTGGAATCAGAAATCAATATCTTATCAAGAGGTTCTGCCTTGCAAAGCATATGAAGATTTATGAACTGCACCTCAGTCTTGTGTGGGTGCTAATTATTTGCTGCACAAGGGTGGGAATGCGCATCTGTGGAAATGACCAAAGATTGAACCAATACCTCCCAATAAAATCATTCCCTTGTGAAACAATCTCAATTGACTCTTTGTTAGATGACAAGTACAGTAGTCATGGCATTCAGGAGTAGCTGTGTTGGCCATTTAGCAAATTCAAACAAAAACTCATCAGTGATACCTTTATTGGCCAACCAAAATGCACAATATACTTGTTGCAAGCTTTCGAAGCTCCATGGGCTTTTTCATCAGGCAAGATGTTACAAACCAAACAGGAGAAAAACAATTGGAGTTGTTAGTCAGATGGCATGAAAGAGACAACTTTTTTTAAAAAATCTGGTGAGTACAATAGTAAACTATACTGATAGAGGAGTGAAGAGTCATAGCAAATTGATGTAACAGAGCACTCCTAATGATTCAAAGTAATCTGAAAGTCAAGCTCTGAAAAATGATCAGATTAATTTGGCAATAGATGGCAGAATGAAGACCACCCCCCAAAAAAGCAAAGACACAAAATGAATAACTATATTTGTTCATATATTAATCATATTTATACCTCACATTTCTGTGCAGATTGGTACTTGAAGTGATAAATTTGGGGAGGGGGAGAAGCAAAGTGTGCTAGTATAGGTATGTTAGGAGTAAGAAACCTCCCCCCACCCCCCACATACTATAGAGACATTGTTCATTCCAGTGGAAGAATATGGGAGAGGGATGGGACTTGGAAGTCCCTTATGGACACCCTTCAGTAGATGATCTTAGTCTGTCTCCTAACCAACTTACTCTTGCACTTCATAGCCCATATCATGTTCACATCCACCTCCTAAAATTGAGAGGTAAAAGCAGAATGCATCCCAATTCTTTTGTCTCACTCACTACCTTCCAACAATCACCAAAGAACTGCTGCAAAGAGGCACTCTGACACAAGTGCAGCTGCTTAGCAGTTGTCTTTTCAACACTGGTTCCCAAGACTGTAAGGAAATGAATGAGGCCGATCTTGGAAGTTTTATGAATGATACTTCAGCATCTTATAGATATGTGTGAACATCATGAACCCACAAGCTAAAGAAAACATTAAAAATTTAATGCTACCATTTTCAGTGCATCTAACCTGTGGTAGACCTCTTGCAATCAGCAGGAACACAGATTGTGGTTTGTTGCTTGGAATTATTCTTGACCAAGTTTCTGTGATGGCAGACATCCAAGCATAAGATGCAATCATTACCTTGGCTCCAAACACAAGGCTGTTCCTTGCCCTTGTGATATATATATGTATATATATATATGTGTGTGTGTGTGTGTGTGTGTGTGTATAGCGAGAGAGAAAGATTTCATTCACAATACTGTTGTATGGGGTACTGATGACAGAAAGCTTATTGAATATGGACCCCATGCATCTTTTACCAAAGAGAAACAGAATTGGGCAGAGTCACAAAACTGTAGGAGGGCAACCAATCCTGCTGCAGTAGATAAGGGGATGGGATTGGGAAAGAGATAGAGGATGGATGGAGCTCTTCTGCCAAATCTTGTGCCTTTCATCATTTATAAACTGGAAAGATGGCTTCCAATTTCTAACAACCAGTTTAGGCTTCTGGAAATAATAGGGTGCAAGTGAAGAGTCCATCTAAGTTGGGCTGTATCTCCTGTTTTACTGCTAGTTTGTTTTTTTAGAAATGTAGGAACAATGATGTATTTGCATTAAATGGCTGCTGATCCTCCTGATCCAGCAATGAGTTAAAGGAAAGAAAAGCACGTGATAAACACAGTGCTGTGCCTGTACCTAGGAAGAGGACTGCAACCACCAGCAACCACAGAAGACACACATATCTATCCACATTGCATTATTACAGCAGTTCAGTCCCACTTAAACTGCCATGACTCTGTTCTGTGAAAGCCTGGCATATGTAGTTTGGTGAGGTACTTGGAATTCTCTGTGAGAGATCTCAAGTTCCTGGAATGACAAATCCCATGACATTTGAATCACTGTAATGCCATAGTGCAGAAACACTTCAGGTCACCTTTGTTTGTTTGTTAGTTTATTAACTGCCTTTGCTTTGATTTGACCCATGGTGACCCTATGGATGAGATATCTCCAGGGCCCCCTGTCCTCTACTGCTCTGCCCAGCTCCTGCAAACTCTTCTTAGTGGTCTCTTTAATAAAGTCTATCCATCTACCATGTGGCCTTCCTCTCTTTCTATTTTCCTCCACCTTTCCTAATATTATTGTCTTTTCCAACAATTCATGCCTTTTCATGATGTGTCCCAAAGTACGACAGTCTAAGGGCCTTTGCAGACTGCCAGAAATAGTGC